TCATCTTCTAGAACTTCCTGCTTCCGGTAGACCGGTTTTTACGATTCTGCGGACGATTTCTAAACTCACATTGAAATGTATTGTTTACTCGACCGGTCTTTCTTCATTTTGAGATGCCATGATACATTCTAACTGACGCTGGCTGAAGTGCTGTGTCGGATCAAATAGCCTGTTGATCCGATACAGCACTTTAGCCAGCGTCAGGTAAAACCCTAGAAAGCCTTGGAATACTGCCTTGGTCGCGATATCGCTCCCCGAATGTACCGAACTACACCCCATCCTTGTACAAGGCAGTCACTTTCGCAATCGCAGGGGTTTTACCATTTCTGTAGGTTCGTTTTTGACTCTATAATGTTTGTCTCAGACACCTCCCATTGGCTCTCCCAGTTCGCCTCTCGCCTCCTCACACGCTCATCCGCTGCTGAAAATCAGCTACTAAAAGGCCCATAATTGTGTCGTTTTGCACGGCAATATTTGATATTTTCTCTATTAATAAGAGGAATAGCGCCTATACATCCATGTGTAGTCCGACCTACCCACAACTTGCAATCGCGGAGTGTGTCTTTAAATCTTCAAGGGCACGCCTGAGAAGTCCAGTGAAACTGTTAGAAGCTAGAAAGCGTCGTGATGAGCTGCTCCTACGGTTCACCCTCTAACAAACGGGAATTGATATGTTGAAGTAATCCGATTACTTCGGTCACATAAGCAGCTTTCGACTTTTTTTATTCAGAAATCAACACAATGTTCGGTTGCATTATAGTTTAACTGAGGAGACGAGTGACTAGACCGAGAGCGTAGAGACTAGAAGAGAAGATAGAATATTTCCCCTAAGTTTCAAGACACCGTTCAGAACAGATCCTCTACAAAAGGCCTTTGATTGTATGTACAACTCATCGGTGCGTTCACGCGATTACCAGCACATGAGGAGTGTACCTAGTTCAAGCAATCTTCCAAAGCCGAAAGACCCCCATAGCAAATTCAGAGCAATGAAAAAAATTCAACGAGGTACTGCAGTGTCTCTATTGAAGTGAACTAAACTGACTATTGCTCTATGCAGGGCGCTAAGCTCTAAGCGGTCTTCCGATCTAGTGTTTGCCTAGTGTCTAGTGGTAATAGTTGTGCTACCCCACACCGACTTCTGTTTGTTTCTCGGCGACCAAAAGATCGACATTAGTTGTTGCAGCTTGTACACAAATAGTGAAAGCCGAACTATTTCAGATTATTCTCGTGCTACTTATGAAGCATGGTGGATGCGCGAGCATCCGTTCCACTGCTAGACTTCAAACCAAAGAATAACGTTACTCCGCAAGGTAAGGAGTGTGTTTCTTGGAGAAGTTGACCGTAATCCGCCCTTGTTGGTGTGGTGTGGGGCAGACTCAGTGACTCTGAACTAAGTGGAAACGCCCTGATCGAACGCAACATATGAAGCACCCCGCGATTAGTTCGTTTGACGTTTCGATGACTCTGACGAACGCTCTGCTACAGCAGTCGCCATAAGGGGGGAGAGGGTGGGGGAGGTGGCAAAAAAAGACACTTTTCTTCCTTGACCTTCGAGGCGCTATAAGTTACACTTTATCAAATTCTGATCGCACCTTCCTACCACCGTATCATAGAGCATATTGAATACTATCATGATACTCCGCCACAGTCTACTGGACGAGTGCCATCGGGAGATTCTGCCACGCGGGCATCGTGGTTCGGTAACTGAGATCAGCGAGATAGTCGATTTCCCCCAACTGTAACCATCCTTATTGAAACTTCCGCTCGAACCAAGTAATCTGAGGGAGGCTCAGGTCGAGATGACGCTGCTTAGGATATTCATCATTCCTCAGGTACTGCAATGCCCTTCCTTTCCAAGTATGTCGTGAGTTTTTCGCAGTGACCTTCGTTTTCCAATGTGTGGCCATCCCAAGTGCTTTAGCATACAAAGTTTCCAAGAAGGTACGGGCGACGACATGAAGGTAGAATATTCTCCCCGAGGTGCTCGATGTAATCGCCAGCGCTCACCTTCAGTCCGGGATCCACGAAGAAAATATCGGCCTTCCATTCCAGGTACGTCCATACCATCCCACTATCCCGCCGCTTGCGACTTGCCGTGAGATGAGTCCTTAGACGCTGTGGCGACGTTGTCGGAGCTTCTCGATGTTGGAGGTCATCCAGATCGAGAGTACTGGTCTCCAGGTAGCTTGGGTGACTCCATACTAGAAGTTTCGCAGCTGTTTGGAGGTGACGTGAATTCCAAAGGTCTTCTCCAGTCAGGCTGCGACTGGAGATGACTTCATATTTTGGTGTACATGAAGGTGATGGACGAGAGCCTGCTCCCTACCTATGCGAGGATAACATCTTGGGGGTATCTTCCGCCCTGGTACTCGTATCCACGTCCTCTGTCTGGGCTGCGAAAACTTTGCTGATATGTGACTCGGTCGAAATGTCTTTTTTTTTTGCCCCCCCTGTACACTAGAGGCCCATGCGTTTTTCTGTCCTGCAAAGCGGTAGTGCTTTTTGAGCAGATACTTATACCGGTGGCCGACTTATGATTGATCCCTTCTCCCATTTGATTGATTTTTGTATTATTGGCCAGTAGCGTTCAATGCCTGAGAACTAAGCTGGAAATAGTTTCAGCATCGCATGGAACTTTTGAAGGCACGCCCAGGGTTTAACAGTGAGATGTTGTGCGGCACAGGTTCTATTGACAAGGTAGTAAGGTTGCAGCTGCGAAAAAAAGCAGAAGAGACCCGCCGGATATGCTCTATGTAGATTCCATGCGTAATGACGCTTGCACATGCATAATACGAACAACGAGCGTGGTCGGATGAATTATCACAATTTTTCATTGGTGCCAGTTCAACGCCTTACCTTACCCTAAATGAAGAGGGTTGGTAGCGGAAAACACCATCAGGTGTAAACAATGAAAACACCAACAGCAGTTAGCAATGAAAGCTAGGCGTCGCCTGTGGCGGCCAGGTGGAGCGGGCCGTTCTCCTATCGAGCGGCGGCCGTCTCTTTAGGTATAGCTCGACCTGAGATCGGGTAGGCGTGGCCTGCGTACTTATAAAGGGCGCGGTCGCCAAAGGTCTTCCGTGAAGATAATATTTCATTTCGCAGCCGCAATCAATCGTCTACGTCTAACCCAGAACAAGATGGGCAGTTCTGTGTCAAAATTGGACTGTTTCCATAGCGGTAACCCATCCTATGGCGCATGCTGAGCAACCCACGGCCTACTCCGTCTCTACCGGGGCAAAGGAGTGTATTTTTCGAGGCTGCGTAGGTGCGTACATTCTCCGTCCTTGCAGGAGGGTTTCGCCATATTCCGCGGAAAGGCGCGCGAAACATACAAGTGAACGCGAGACCTGCTTCGGATGGACACGTTAATTGTACTTCGAGTTGGAGGTTCGGTAGGTTCATACTTGGTACGATGGGAATCAATAAAGTCGCCATGGCCTGAGAGTCTCTAAGCGAGTTACCCTGCGGCCCAACGTAACACTCGCCCAAGAATTTCGTGCGACGTTTTGTATCTGGGTGCAGCAAGCTTGGCAGCCAAGTCGCTTGTCGCGGTAGGGCAAAGATATTGATGGCCTCACACTCTCCGCTCCTTCTCTTCCGTGATGGTCCCATCACTCTCCCTCCTTCATTCACCGTGAGCGGTCGACCTCACCACTCCTCCACTCCTTGCTCACTCAACCACCGAAGAAAGGAGAGACGGTCCGGTCCAACACGCAGTTGGCTAGCGCGGACCGTATGCCAAAAAGACAGGACCGGCTTCGCATTTGCACCATGAATGTCCGTTCCATTGCCACCGCGGCAAGACTTGCCGACTTCGAAGCCGCGGTCGAGAATGTCAAGTTCGATGTCATTGGAGTCTCGGAGACACGAATGGCTGGCAAAGGAAGAATAGACCTCTCAAGTGGGTACTCTTTATATCATAGTGGTACTGAGGAACGAACCAAAAGAGGTGTAGGATTTTATGTACCGTCATCGTTGAATCAACACAGCGATTGTTTCTTTCATTCTGAACGAATGATTGAGCTTTGCATAAAACTAGCCGATAGGAGCACTCTCCGTATAATACAAGTTCACGCGCCCCATTCAGATTTTCAAGATGTGGAATACGAGGCGTTCTTAGACAATCTTGCTCATGTTCTCGATGCCAGGAGAAGTAAGCACCAAGTGATTCTGGGCGATTTCAACGCAACTCCTGGTTTACGCCGTAATGAAGAGCGATACATTGGTAACAATTCCTCAGGAGCTCGAAATCACCGTGGACAAATGTTGGCCGACTTTTGTGAGGAAAGAAAGCTATTTCTTGCTAACTCGTTCTTCAAAAAGAGACTTGACGATCGGTGGACATGGCGAAATGATGCCTTGGGACTGAAGAAAGAGATTGATTATGTATTGTTGAGAAGTATGAAGGGCGTTGTCGATGTAGGAGTGCTCACTAGTGTTAACACGGGGAGTGATCACCGCATGTTAAGATGTAAAATGCGTCTGAATCCGATCTCACAACCAGTAAGAAGACCAAGAGGATTCCCCGTTATCGACAGCGACTTATTGTGTTCAACCGCTCAATGTTTACTACATGAAAATATGATGACTGGCGATACAATCAAAGATTATGATACCATTACTCGCGTCATAACAACAGCTACTCAGATGTCCACAAGGTATGAATATCTCCCACCACGTCTATCACCAAGGACCCGGGATCTCCTCCAGAGGACGACGAGTTTGCACAGGTCCTTTTTCACCATAGATGATTGGTTGGTGAACAACACCGCCCTGACTAACTGCGGTGATATTAACGCCCATAATTGGCCCATTATCTCCTGAAGGTAAACACCTAATATACAGTTGCTTTCCCTGTATATGCCTTGAAGCTGAAATTCTGTAGCTGTCACTCAGCTATGCAAGACCTAAATCCGTTCTTCAGTTGCAGTATCGTGGACACGGTATCGGGGTGATTGCCATCGACGGCCATCCTCAGCGGAGTCTTCCCTTCATTATTACTCATCCATAGCTCTTTTGAACGCGTCTGCTCCTCCATGAAAAACTTTATAAGCCTACAGTTTTTTCATATTTTATTATACTCATCTGTTATGACTTTATGACTGTTTCTGTGCCCACAGATTCGCGAGAGGTCATATATGCTAAAGGGATTGAAGTTATAGATAAAAACTGCAGGCCTTGGTGAGGCGGGATCAAGGCCGCCACTCTGCGACGGGGGGGGGCATTTTGCTTTCCATAGACGTGTCGACCCTCTAGCAAGCCGTTCCTCGAGGTGACACGTTTTGGGATAGTGGCTAGACGCGATCTTGCTAAGCTTCACAAGAGTTTACACAGTTTGACCAGAGCGAGCTTTGTAAATAGGAGCTAGGGAAGCAATGAGGGGGGAGCGGGGGGGGGGTGTTAGCAACAGACTCCCCTCCCCCCCCCCCCGTTCGACAAACAGCGCCGGGATTCGAAGTTACTCGTCACACGCTCGATTGATGACTAGCCATAGGGACACGTAGAGAAACTGAGAAAACTATTGGGGTCTTTTTATCATGAATGCGATGCTCGAGGAAAGATGAGCGCCAATCTTAATGTCTCGCAGAGTAACAACGTTTTTTCATTACTTCAATAATTATCTGAGCTTCACTTTTGAAGCTTCATATAAGACAAAAATCTGAGGGTTTATGCCGCTATCTGTCGATGCTTTTCAAAAATGGTTCAGCTCTAACATACAATATAGTTGGTTTTCCCATTCGTACTTGCTGCTTCCCAACTATACTATGGTTGGTAGGGAGTAAATCGCGGAGCTTTTCGAGCCTTCAGATTGCCCATGGTCATATTATGCGCCCTAACTGTTCCTAATTTTTGAGAGATTCCACTGATTCTGTAGAGGTCCCCCATCTGTTTGGCGGTTACCCATTTTTATCATGAAACTTGGAAATGGCCACCTAACAAAGCCTAACCAGTGTTGGAGCAGCAAACCTCAGTGTCGCTTCGCCATGATGAGCAGCTATGTGATACACGGAGTTCATTCGTTTGTCAGTTCCCGAGGTGTCAGCTCCGTTAGATAGAAGCGTTTGAATGATTTCATCATATCCATGGACGCACGCAGTCAGCAATGGAGTTGTTCCTTTTATCGTTTTAGCCTGAATAAATTCTGGAACATCTATTAAAATAAATCTATGTAACGGAACTCACGGAATGGCCAACATTGAAGCATCTGAGAAGACAGAAATAAGCAGAGACAGCAGATTGGAAATTCACGATTATTTTGCAAATTCAGAAGAAGCTCGTGTACAACAAGACACTCAAAGCCTCGTTTTTGCGCATTCAAGCACCACTCAAACAACACGGCCACACTATTTACTGGAGCCGGATTCTGTTGTCGATACTGGCGTCAATTATTTGCTCGTGGTCGCTACAGAAATATAAATTTTTTTCTCGGAGAGAAAATGAATGAACCAGGGACTTTGGGGTAGCCGGATATTTTCTCTCTCCATCCTCCATTGTACTATCCTCATCATTGCGGACTGTCGGGGCGGGGTGAGCCAGCGCTGCACTGTGACGTGACAGCGGCTGCTGCTCGGTAACTGTGAATCAGCTGATTTAACGGAATTCGGCTGCGAATTCCAACTTTTTCAGCTTCTGATGAAGGTGAATTATTTTGAACGATTTTCAGTTGTCCTGGCTCTAATTTCCTTTATTTTTTCTATTATTATGCTCTTTTCCATGTATCTTGCTTCGTTATTTCAGGCATTTATTCAAATGGGTGCCTTTCTCAAATTCATTTGTCAGAGCAGTATTTTAACTTATTGCAAAATACTCACCTTACACTTTCGAAGGCAGTTTGAAGCAGCTGAAAGTGAGAATTCGCAGCCGAATTCCATGGAAATCAGCTGATTCGCCGTCACCGAGCCGCAGCCGCTGTCGCGTCACAGTGCAGCGCGGCTCAGCCGCCCCGACAGTCCGCAATGATGAGGACTGTACACAAGAAGCAGACCGTGGACACGCAACACGCCGCACGGCCAAGATTCCTAACCATGGCTACACACTGTTACTGTTTGTGTGCACCTCAGGTGGTACTGTGAGCGAAGCACGCTGGCAGCATGCCAGCGAACATGTACGTTGCGACGATTTCATTCAGGATACAAAGCGATTATCCGCTCTTTCGCTAACTATTTCTGAGCGAATCATAACCTTTTGAGCGTTAAAGCGTTGCGCCTCGATGCCTAGGAAATCAGACAGAAATCGCTTGGCTGTTTTGGTTTCTCCTGCCTTACTATTTTACAGGACCGAGTTCATTTCGCTGCTTTATTAGCTAGCTGGTACACCTTTTGCATATTATGTTACCGATGCCCACTTACGTTCACATCTGCACCGTGCTTGATGAGAGCCTTAACGGCAGGTTCGTTCCCCTTCATGGCTCCGTGGTGAAGCGGTGTCATTCCGTAGGAGTCTCTCGCATTGACATCCCTATGAATACACTACTTTCGAAGGTAAGGAAATACCATAATGGGTGACGAACTCACGCTCCACGTCCCACAAGAAGGTTTATGATAGCTGTCGTTACGTCGGCTGTCATGTGCCGAGAAGTGCTATGAGCGGAAGCGTCAATGAATTGCGACACGGATGACCCTGAAAGTATTGGCGGGCGGGATAATATATAAGCTGTAGCACTCCAGCTTTTAAATTATTAAAGCCCTCAAAACTTTTAATTTTCTTCTCCAGGGCTTTTCATCTTTGTTTCGCCATAAAGCGTTTTTCAAGACGCGTTCTTACTGGTCTTGATGGGCGTAAATGACATTCACTTTTAGGCCACGAACACCGGGTTTTCACGCCACGAACATTCTCATCAAAACCGTTATCTTCTCACAAACAGTGGCATAGTTCTTGCAGACGCTGGGATAAGACTGTAAGTTCAGAAAGGTGTGTTTACAGTACGTCCCAAAATTGCGCGTATAATTAAATATGTCGGGCCGTGAACGCACAACAATGGGCGATTCTGTAGGATGCAACCAGGTGAGGGTCTGGCCAGGGCACAATGGTTGTTGAGGAATTCCCAAAGGGGTCGTCATTGGCTGGGAAAATTTATTCTGGGACGTGGGTAAAAAGGGAGGGCGTCGTATTACGTATTCGCGTCGGCGTTGTCCCCCCCCCCCCCCCCCATCCCCGCCGCTCGACGGCTCAGCTCGATTCGATGAGGAGGAACAGAGGGCTGGAGAGGGGGGGGGTCGTACCAACCCCCAAAAAGGGATGGGGTCGTACAGACTCGACTAAAATCCCCAACCAATAATGTGCCCTGGTTTTGGGAGGACGCGTGGAATAGTTTTGGTAGGGTACCCAGAGCTACGCTTGCGGGCGCCTAGGCGGTACTAGGAGGATCGCTCCCGGGTGGCAGCCCCACCGACAACAATTGGTGAAAACGGTCCAGCGCCGCGCCGGGCCCTGCCCTGCCCCGTCCTTGTGTAGTCGAGAGACTTGGTCGTGTATACAGTTTATATTACAGCGACCTGTCGGGTCGCAATCAGCAGTTTCACCTCGCGCCTTTCCCAACCCAATGGCTGATTCACTTCCATATTCGACCATGTGCTCGATCACCATTGGTGGGAGCAAGGGCAGCTCGTTGACCGCGTCGTGCCGCGCTGCGTCGGACAGCCCCCGACAAAGTGGTGTAGGTACAAGGTTAGAATCTTAATCACCGGCGCGCTGGTGGGCGTCGCGTGCGACGTCGCGCCCGCAAATGACGATGGTTCCAGGTAGTAGATGGCGACAACAGGCAATTCAGAACCGAAAATAGTCATGAATGTCTACGACGATGGGGTCTACATGAAGTCCGGTGCTCCATTCGACAGGTTAACACGAGTCGAGTAAGCGCCGCGCCCATCGCCACGCCCGGCGGAACGGCAAAATTACGATTCTGCTATACCCGTTCCCCCCCCCCCCCTCCTCCCCCTTCCCCGCTCCCCCGACCACATGGCAATGTTACAAACTATAATGCTGATCGTTTTCGGCGCTGGGGTTAACAATGAGTGCCAATTCGTAGAAGCATCATCAAAGAACCGAGAAGAGAAACGTTTCCAAGAAATGAGGATTAGGGACAATTTAATAGTTGGAAAGCTTGAATCTGAATGATCGTGACCGACTTTCTGTTGGAGCGGCATGTAGAAGAGCGATAGGACGGCAGTACTTGGCAGTGACGTGCAACGGAGTGAACTGTTCCCGTCCAACTACATCAACTGTTTGCTCCTCTGTTTAGCAACAGCTCGACAGCTTTCACATGACCATATTTAGCTGCATAGTGGAGAGCTGTGAACTGAAAGAAGGGGAAGTGAGAATCAAAAGAATTGGTATAATATTCAAGAAAACCTTGAAACAGGTGAATGACAGGTATTGAATGACAAATGAATAACATGGAGAATTCTCGGAAAGCCTGGGCGGAGAAACGAAGCTCTTTAGATACCTATCTCTCTGATCTATGGAGGTGTGCAAAATGCGAAAGCGCAGTTGTAAGCCTCAAAAAAGTAGGCCTACCCCGTCAGTATCAGAGGCGTTCACGAGGTCGGGACGACGGGAAATGAGGCTTTGCATCGACCTTCGAACATTACCGGTCCGCGCACTCTGCGAAAAAAAAAAAACCAGTGACGCGTCAGTCACACAGAATTTGTTGAGGGAAACCAAACTCACCCGATGAAGCAAAGAGGTGAAGTTGCTGTCCAGTTCATCACTACCTCTGTCCGGTTCAACTTCTACCTTTACCGACTCCGAAGACGAGGAAGAAGCTGAATGGAATATGATGTATCAAACCGGCATGCGCGGAAACATGCACCATGAACGGAGGGGGGGAGACCGTGGTGGTGAGATCTGCTCGTGAAGAGGTTGGTGTGAGGCGAGAGTGCTTAGTGAAGCGGCTCAATACAATTGGTCAAAATCTGACCTAGGGGATAAGAGGCAGGACGTTTGTCAGTAAAGCCTCTCAAAGCCAGATATTTCGCCTGTAAATGCGTAAGCAGAGCTGCCATCTCTCCAGCACTTACTGCGGCGCATTAAACGCCTACAGGGGGGGGGGGGAGGCAAAAAAAAGTCATTCCGGCCGAGTCACATATGAGCGAAGTTTTCGCAGCCCAGACAGAGGAAGTGGATATGAGTACCAGGGCGGAAGATACCCAAGATCTTCCTCTATAAGCAGGAGCCGGCTGCCGCCATTCACCTTCATGTACACCAAAATGAAGTCATCTCCAGTCGCGGCCTGAGTGGAGAACGCCTTTGGAATTCACGTGGCCTCCAAACAGCTGCGGAAACTTCTTCGAATGATGAATTCATTCACCAGATAGCTACCTGGAGACCAGTACTCTTGATCTGCAAGACCTCAAACATCGAGCAGCTCCGGCAACGTCGCTACGGTCCAGGACATCATCTTCACCCCATTCACCAAGGCGCGGGTTGATGGTGTGGACCGGCCGTACCTGGAATGGATGAACCGATATTTTCTTCGTGGGCCCCAGACTGAGGGTGTGCGCTGGTGGCTACATCGAGCAACTCGAGGAGAATATCCCATCTTCATGTCGTCGCCCGTACCTTCTTGGAAACTGTACTGCTACAGGATTGGGTGACAACACATTTAATCGAAGGGCGTTGGAAAAACTTTCGCCTACTTGGAATGGAAGAACGTTGAGTACCTGGAAAAGATGGAGTATTTAAGCGGGGGTCCTGAACTAAACCCCCTCAATTACTCGGTTCGGGCGGAGCTCAACAGGGTGGTCTACAGTGGCGGAGAAAAACAATCTGCCATATCAACTCCGTACCCACTCACTTCGCGCAGCCGAATCTCTCGATGGCGCTCCTCCAGAAGGCTGTGGCGGAGTACCGTTACAGTATTTAATGTGCTCTTTAATATGGTAGCCCCGATAAAAATTCAATAAAGTGTAACTTATAGCGCCTTGAAAGTCATGGAGGCAAAATGACTTTTTTTTTGCGGCCCCCCCCTGTATTCAGTGGATAAGTTGCGATACAGGAAATTCAGAGGGTGGTTCAACTCCCCATAGAATTTCCACTGGTGACCTATAGTTTCAATGCCTACGGAATGCTGAGGGTGCGTGTCAGAGAGGTAGAGTGTTTCCCATGGTAGTCTGTTCTCCATACGAGTGGAGAAGAGAGAATTGGTTTGGAAGTCGGGCTTGATGCTTGCCGCCAAACCCGGCTGTCCTCGACGTAACCCAGCGAGCAGACTGCATGTGTGCTGATAGGGTTCGAAATACTGACTATAAATGTGTCAAACAAATTTGTTACCTGCATTTTGCGGGGAGCTATGAGTCTTCAAAATTTGCGAAGGTGCAACGGGTCTGATGACTCGTAAACGAATTCTAACATCCTGCTTGGCCAGTATCTTATTTTGAGAATCATTTGACTCTCTGAACATGAGCATCATATCTAATACTAGATGACTAAATACTTATTCTTTATCGGCCCACAGCACACAAATAGAGGTTTTTGATCATGTGCGAGATTCTCGAGGAACCGGCAGCGGTGAATAATGTCGTCCATCTTCTAGTCATGTCCCTGGTCCTTGCTCCAGTATAACGAGCGAAGTCGTCCAGCCATCTTTTTGGACGTCCGACGAGACCCTTTTTCTTTGTGGTATTCCAGTCAGTTGCCCACTCAAGAGCCAGGAGTCTTGAGCGGGCCTTCTGAGAGTCGCCAGCATAAGGACCATTTCTTTGTAGTGCCGAAAACCACCCAATCTTTCAGCGATGTTCCTTCTGCGTAGGATTTTGGAAGAGATTTTCCGAAAGCCTAGCTCCAAGTATGGCTCTTTCTAAACGTCTTTGTGCTGTTCTGAGGCACATCGCCACTTCCTTTGTCCATACCCATGTTTCGCAACCATATAACACTGTTGGTAGGATACACATATTGATAAGTTTTCGTTTCAAACTCATTTCCACTCGAGGTTGTCGAAGGAACAGTCGTTCTATAAAGATATGAACGGCACGCAGTGCTTGAATACGGACTATGCGCATCACATCACTTGAGGAATTTCGTCGGACGTAATCTTTTGACGAGATAACTGAAATGCGTCGATCGGTTCGATTTCATTTTTTCCTGCCAGCGTATAAGACCGTCGATATCTCCTAGATCGGCTTTACTCAATCTCATCCATTTCGTCTTCAAAAAATTAATAGTGAGTCCCACTTTCTCCGCAGCATCGGCCAACATTTTTGCCATTATTCCAATATCTTCACAACTATGAGCGAGAAGGACAATATCATCAGCATAAGCTAGGTACGAGAGGGTTTTGTTCCCTAGTTTCAGTCCTTTGCCCTGCCAATCTATCAGATTCAGCGCGTACTGGAGAACTAATGTGAAGAGAACTGGAGACATTGAGTCTCCTTGTCTTACACCCCGCTGCAGATTGAACTCTGCTAGTTGATTCGCTATTCTGACGGCAGCGGTACTGTGTGCATACAGCAGCTGTATGGCCATTATCAAGTTCTCCTCTACACCAAAATGCTCCAACGCTTTCCATATCATTGGAAGTTCCACGCTATCGAAGGCCTTCTTAAAATCGACGAAAACGGCACATAGCTCTATATTGAACTCGTGACATTTCTCGGTAATCATATTAATAGTGTGAATATGATCTATGGTCGAGAAGTGCTTGCGGAAACCAGCCTGCTCCGGTGGTAGAATTGACTTTTCCTCAATTGTGGCTGTCAAACGGTCTGTAAATATTCTTGTCAGCACCTTATACAACGTCGACAGCAGCGATATTGGCCTGTAATTAGCGATGTTAGATGGGTCTCCAGCTTTGTAGAGTAGAATGGTGTGAGCGGAATGCGCAAAACTTGTAGGCACAACCTTGTCCTTATCATGTTGTTGAAAAAATGTGTTATGGGTAAGGCGAGTATTTGTGAAAGAGCACGAAGAGAAGGGGATTGAATGCCATCGGAACCAGCAGCTGAACGTGCTTTGCTTCTCTTCATTGCCATTTGCACTTCATTATTGTAGACCTGCAGATTTATTTGGCCTGATGGTGGAGTGGGTGGGCCGAAGGAGGAGTGGTACAGTGCGTTATAAAAATTTCTCACTGCTTTCACTGACTGCGACACATGATCAGGAAAAGGTTCATCTGATGGGGAGGGGTCGCTAGGAGGGGAGGAGGTGGTTTCTTTCAGGATTGTCAAAGATCTTCTTGCGTGTAAAGCTTGCATGCGCCCACGTCGAAGGCGTCCGGACTTGATGGCTTGACGAAATATTTGAATATGACGTTGTCGCAAATCTTCTTGGATAGATTTTCGGGCTAGCTTGCAAATCTCAGCATACTCCACGATTCCCCTCCCATTATCTCCGTGACGTAGCTCTCGTCGTCTCTGG